GGTTATACTACAGCTGCAGAGGAGGCCAACAGCATGGATTCCTGGCTTTAATCTCGAACCAGGTTAAACAACAGGGATCGTGTCACGCTGTGTGAGACAACTCTAATGAATTCTTGGTTTTCAATTTGTGTCAGATTGCGCATTAAGCTGTGAGGCATGTCAGGCTGTAATGAATGTCTGCTTGATCTTAGAGCAGAGAAAAGAAAGCCGGGACAAATCAGCTCCTTTCATCATTGTATGATGACAGACGTCTGTGTGTGTATACGAACTTCAATTATTGTGGCAACCTTTGAATCAATCTACTTCCTGCTTGGCGTGTGTTTTGCTGAGAGACTGAGGGAGTACAGTGGCATGCGATAGATTGTTGGATCAGCGTTTCAATAGAAAACTTTGAAAACCTGGTTAGCCCGGTCTGACTTTGACTTTAGCATTTCTTGCTATTACATTACTAGGTAAACATTGTAGGTAAACATTAAAATATGTTTTTAGGTGTGTGTTTATCACCACATATACGATACAGGTGCCTGAAGTAAAGGTGTCTGACAGGTGCAAACACACTACATTGGCCCAGAACATTTTCATTAGGAGAAAAGCGTTGCAGCTTAAAAAACAATGCAAATATAGAAACAGGAATGAGCCAAAACACATACAAATGAAGAAAAATCTCCCCCAATGTGACAACACATGCGAAGCATTTAGAAAAACATCCACTCACTTGACGAAACTGACGTTTCTGTTGGGTTAAAGGTAGGGTAGGTAAGTTTGAGAAACCGGCTCGAGATCGCTAGAATTTGAAAATACACAACCGGAGAAAATCTGCCACTTCCTTATAGAGCCCCTCCTCCAACACACACGAACGCGCACATGACCAATGAGGGCACGAGATAAGTTTGTGCACAGATGGAAGGCTGACCGGCAGGTAGGCCATCCAGTTATTTTAGCCGGGCCGGCTAAAATGATTGGTCGTGCTTTTTACAGTACTACGGCTTCCACAGATGACATTTTTTTATGGATTTTGTGTCAAAGCACTTAAGATATTCATTGCTATCGGGATGTTAAGAGCATTGCATGGAATATAACAAAAAGTGTATCTCGAGCCGGTTTCTCAAACTTACCTACACCACCTTTAAGAGCCTTTTGCAGTGCTTTTTAGCACTGGCATTTTGTGTTTGCCGGTTTTGTTTATGCAGCGCTTTTAGTAAACGCTGCTCATGTTTTGTCAAGTTAGTGAATGTTTTCCAAATGCTGCGCATGTGTTGTAAAGTTGGTGAAAGTGTTTCTTCATTTGCATGTGTTTTGGCATTTCTGTGTTTTTATATTTGCACAATTTCTGAAGCTGCAGCGCATATTCCTTTCCCAAGATGCCAACAAGCGTTTTTACCATACATATTTTCACAGCACTACAGGTTACAACATAAAAGTTCAAAATAATTCCATTAAAACATTTAATGAAGCAGTTTGCTTTTTTGACCACTCCAAAAGGAAGTTTTAAAAAATGTGAGAATTGAAGTTAAGGTATTGTGTTGCACATTTTGTACAAAAAAATGAATTCTTGAGTTATCAGTTTATTCTCCCTAAATGCATTCCTGAGGTATCATGCTCACAAAAATGGGTTTTCAATCTAAATTTCCAGCTGCATTGATTATAATTATAGAGAGCCAGAATCAATTTAAGGGAATAGGTTGAAACAATAAAACAGGTAAGGGTGCTCAAAGAGCAGATGTATATTGATGCGAGGTCACCGTGTAGTGGTTTGATCTTTCCGTCTCCGTTTGGATCACAGATTGTATAAAGTGTCTAAATTCAAGTGCTGACCTTCACACTGCACATGTTCTGATTCAACCTGAATACATTTGATAAAATGCTACTTCTGAATATAAAGTCACGAACGACGGCTGCAGTGATATCTTAAAGATCCTTGTGTTAAATGTCTTCTTGTTGCTGCAGAAGAAGAACGGTAACCAGGAGAGTAACTTACTGTAGAGGGGCCTTATTATGCTCATTAAAATGGTATGTGTCTCTCCTGTGACATGTCTCCATGCTTTATTGTTCAAATAGCTCTTTATTTTTCTCATATTGCCTGTGCTGCAGCACCTCTTTTCACCCTCTGTCTGAAACCAGAGTCCAGTCTGCTCTGATTGGTTAGCTGGACGGCTCTGTTGTGATTGGTCAACCACTTAGATATGTCCCGCCCCACGAGAATGTGTTGGAGCACTAGCCAATAGAAGCGCAAGTCTTACGCAATGATGTCACTATTTTACAGAAGTAAATATAGGAGTCCAATGGAGGCGTTTCTGGCAGGTGGGGGAGTAGGGGAAAGGGACAGGGAAAACCCCAAAAAGAACAATAGGATAGGGCCCTATGTTTTATTTTTCCTCAATCCCTTACCCCCATCTCTGTCATTTTTATCTACAATGGCTTTTATCCATCGTTGTATAAAATGCACATATGTCCGGCCGAGAAACTCTGGGATTTTAGCCTTGGCAGGCCACATACAGTACATGCACAAAAAAACAGTATAACACACCAGAGGAAAGGGGAAACGCCATCAAGCATAAAAGGGCATCTTTAAATCAGTCTTATGCGAATAAACCTGACAGGATCCAAAGACATTTAGAGTAAAATATTACCAACAATATAACATTTTGGTTGCCCTTAAAACCAAAGCGTTCACAGCTGAAAACGTAGATTGCGTTGGTCAAAATCCAAAAAAAAATGATGGTTAAAAATTCCAATAATGTTACGGCCACAAACCCTGATGGTGACAGAATCCAGAGACCTTTAGAGTCAAATATCAATAAAAACTAAAGAATATTATATTTCCTCTGTCTTTCAAGAGTATGTGATAAGTGACCTAACTAACGGTGGATGACAATATCTGACTTTGATGAAAGAATGAATATGTACACACTTCCACACAGTGAAACAGGCCAGATAAAACCCATTTAGCCACTTGGTTTCAAATCAAATGCATTTCAACTAATTACGTCAACATATTGTTGCAATTAGAAAGCCAAGTATATATTTATCTTAATGTTATATTACACCTGAGCCTCTCCTGCTATACAAGGCAAAGATCCCGCAAGAATACAATTGTTTTCAATTAGATTTGATAAAATCTGATTCCTGAAAGACTACACATTGTAATAGTTATTACAAATTGAAATTGAAATGAGAAACTAATTAAATGAATGATAATTAAATTATTCAAATAAACGTCTCAGTGCAGCGTTCATTCCCAGGCCTGTAACCATTTGCTCATGCGTTCTCCTATTTACCTCACAGATTCTATTTTACGAACGGTAGAAAAACCAACAGAAATACAGGCTATGTGGACACAAGACCTAAAGGAGTAAATATTAGTTGCCGTTGCACATGTAGGAGTTTAAGCCATACACTCATCAAATGTTACACCAGAGGGAAGTACCTCTGCTCTGCTGTAAAGAAGCCATGTTGTTACCTGTTGATATCTGTAACATAATGCCCTTTGTCTGGTGTTTTCATCTCGGGCTAATCAGTTTCTTTTTTCATTTCTGAAATATATGCAAAGTCCGCTTTTCATTTCCCAACAAGATGCTCAAAACATTGTTCATGCATTTATTTCATGTAAATGTAATTACATTAATGCACTCCTCCAAGAAAAATCCATCGAAAAGCAATTCATTCAGAACTCTGCACCCACTCTTAGGATTGATTTTAAACTTATTTCGACTGTTTACAAGGACCGGCCAACATAACTAATTAATTGCAGTTGTATTACCCTTTAAGGCAGCGTTTCTCAAAGTGTGGAGCGCGCCCCACTGGTGGGGCGCAGAGATGTGATAGGTGGGTGGCGAATGGACGCGATGAACGGGAGATTCTTTTTATTTTTTTATTTTTTTGACCAAGTTTAAATGATTTGTTATTGGTTGTGATCATATTCTAAAGATGTTTGGATTATTGAAAAGTATACAGCTCCCTTTCATATGGGTGTTGAGAGCTGTATCCATAAATTCATGTTGTGCTCAAAGTGCACCAGATTGATGCATTTAACTTCAACATTTAAAACAAAATCTTCCCGGGGTTGTATGCCCCAGGACCCCTGAGGTGAGGTCCACCCCCAAATAAAGGAGGTTAAAATAATTAAATTGCATACATTTTCTTTTAGTAAACACTGAAAACGGGTCCCACAGACCCAAACAGCATACAAAGGTTAAAGGTAAGCATATAATGTTAAAATGTTCTAATTATATACACTGCAAAAAAACAAAAAAGAGGAGTAAAAGTTATTTTTTGAAAGTAGCTCTCATCCTAAAAAAGGTTGGAGACCCCTGTTATAGAATGATACATTTGACAATTTTAAGCTTGGCCTACCATTTTATTGGAGCGATGAGGAACAGGTGGGGCTTGAAAAGGCCCACCTGTTCAAAGTGGGGAATGACAGAAAAAGTTTGAGAACTACTGCTTTAAGGACACTTTGTTTGCTGACATTGTTTCAATGCACAATTTCACACAAATTAGAAAATCGACAGCCCAGCAATTTTACTTTTGCACCTAAAGTTGTAATTGTTATGATCTCTGTTATGATCTCTGTTATGATCTCTGTTATGATCTCTGTTAAGATCGCGGAAAAGGTAGGACCCAAATGCAGACTACAAAAAGAGGTAAAAGGTCTAGAAACAAAAACGAGCTTTATTTACAAAGCTGATGAGCAAAAAACATGGCATGGATAACATAAGTAGCACAAGGAATATACATCACCCAAAAAACGATCGTGATTCGTGACCAACATGGAGGGAGACAGGAAAGACAAACAATGAACCGACAGGGGAACACAGGGAAAGACAAGACTAAATACAGAGAGGGGTAATCACGGGACAAGAAACAGCTGGGTAAGGGAGGCAGAAACACAAGGGCAACAGGTGAACACAATGAGACAATCAGACACACCAGGGAAACTAAAGACAAGAAGGCAAACACAGGAAGTAGGACCAAATATAAACAGAAACATGGACTCTTACCTCTCTTAAGTAGCAGGATATTCCTCGAAGGGCTTCACCCATGGTGGTCGGAGAGGGGAGCTGGAAAGAAAGTAAATGAAAAGTGAGGCTTTTGTGTAGAGACCAATACCACAATGTGAAAAACTCAACTAATACTTTTAAAAGAAGTAGCTCGGATGACCTTTAAGAACCAATTGTCTGCAGCATTGTCACCTACAATGAGTTGTGTCCTTTAACCAAGTGGCGTCCTTTGGGCCTGAAAAGTGAGGCCAATGCACAAGTGCCTTAAACCTGCATTTAGTCTTGCCAGCACTTTGAACCCGGCAATGTTTAGTACCAGCAAAAGTTTTATTTTAGAAATGTATACTACGGGTACAGTTTCAACCAGAAAGTGGCCATATTTGTACTCCCAGTGGGCTGATTTTGACTACCATCAGTAGGGATGCGACCACTGGATGAATTTTATTTCAAATAAATAAGCACTCTTTCCAATCAAAATGATCAAAAAATAAAACTTCAAAATCGATGCAAAATGTATCAAAATCAGCCCACCTGGACATGCATTTATAAACGTCATGCAGCTGGTGCAAAATGCCGCAGGAAGGCTTTTAACTGGCACACGGAAATATGACCACATTTTGGCTTCGCTCCACTGGCTGCCAATACATTTTAGGATTCATTTAAAAATCCTTTTATTTGCTTTTAAATCCCTAAATGGCATGACCCCACCATATCTTTCTGAGCTGCTACACCCTTACACACCCAACCGCCCTCTCAGGTCAGCTGATCAACTGCTCCTGAACGTGCCCAGAACCAAGTCAAAGCTCAGAGGGGGCCGTTGCTTCTCTGTAGCGGCTCCCACACTGTGGAACGATCTGCCCCTGCATATCAGACAGGCCTCCACACTGCCTGTTTTTAAATCGCTTCTTAAAACCCACCTCTTCTCCTTAGCGTATTAACATCTTTTAGAGTGTTGCTTTTAAATTGTTTATTGTTTTTACTTGTACTTGTTTTATGGTGTGTGAGCTGTGCTGTGTTATTTTTTGTATGTTTTGTTTTGTTTATTTGACTGTACAGCACTTTGGTCTGGAGGTTTAAAGTGCTCTATAAATAAAGCTGTATTGTATTGTATTGTACTCAATAACCCCCCAAACCACTCCAAATCTGCCAAACCATTTTAAACTATTGTCCACATAGGCTTTAATGCTTAAAAACGCAGCTTATTCCAACAGTGGACATTTCCCAACATATGCAAGTTAGCTTCCGGCAGTTTCTATGTGCTGTATATATTTCTATCATAACATTTTGTAGTTCACAATAAAACTCTATGAGCTGCCAACTAGACTTATTCTCTCTATTATCCAAAGAAAGAAGACTATGTGAAAATGGCACTCCTTCTAACTTGATTTATTACATTAGTAAACAGTAACCTGATTAGTTTATGGTACTAGTATTTAGTTTTAAGTCTTCTTCAATAAATTGCCCTTCATTAAAGTTAATGTAACAATTTTGATCGGCTACCTAATGTTCAGAATTAGGTTAGACTTAGTCCCACCTTTTGTGTCACTTCTGGTTACGAAAAACAAGATGGCATTGGACAAAAACCACGTTGGTGACACATTTAACCAAGATGGCGGCAACCAAAAACCCAAAAGGCGACAGCGACCAACCAAATTGGAGTTGGCCACCGAAAGAAAAAAAAAGTGCGTGCGTGCGTACGTGCTTACCGGAGGCGGGTGCTCCAGGCAGGTGTGGAAATGTTTCGTCTGGTCGGGTTTTCACCACGTTCAGAGGCACCCGGGACTCTCCGATCAACTCATTATGAGTCAACTTATCCTCGTCACACACTGTCAACCTGCGGAGGAAAGGAAGCAAGGACACACGAAGGTTAAAACAAGAAGACAAGAGGAAACAAGCAGAGAAGAGAGGAAACAAGGAGACAAGAATTAAGAGAAAACAAGAGAGACAATAGTAAAGGAGTGGAGATAGGAAACAAATATATGGAACAATGAAACACAAGAGAGGAGAGGAAACAGGGGAGGAAACAAGGAGAGAAAAGGAAAATGTAACAAATATTTGAGAAAAGAAGAGAGGGGGAACAGAAGAGGAAAAGGGAGAAAGGAAACAAGGAAACAGTAATGGGCAGAAACAAGACAGGAATTAAGAGAGGAAACAGGAGAGGAGAGAGGCGACAAAAAGAAGAGAGAAAATAGGAAACAGGAGAGAAGACATGGAGAGGACCGAGGAAAACAAAGAGATGAGAGGAAACAAGAGAGGGAATAGGAAAGTAAACACACAGAAAAAAACAGCAGTGGAAACAAGTGAGAAGTGACAATCTTAAAGAGAGAAAACAATATGGATTAAGAGGTTTTCCAAGGACAAAAGGAAACAGGAGAGGAAACAAGGAGAGAGGGAACAAGTAAACGGTAGTGACGGAAGGACACAAAGCAGGAATTAAGAGAGGAGAGAGATGACAAAGAAAAGAAAGGAAATAATATATAATATAAGATGGAAAACAGGAATGAGAAGGAAAGACAAGGAACAGACAAGGACACAAAGATAGGAGAGGAAAACAAGGAAGCGGCAGGAAACAAGAGAAAACAGGAAAGAAAACAAGGAGAATAAACAATATAAAAGAGGGGGAACAAGAGCAGAAGAGGATATAAGGAGATGAAACAAGAAATAGGAGAGGAGAGAGGAAACAAGGAGAGGAAACGGGACACAAAAGAAGAGAGGAAACACAAAACAGGAAACAAAAGAGAGGAGAGGAAACAGACAAATAAACAGGTAACAAGAGAGGAAACGGGAACAAAAACGAAAGGAACAAGAAAAAAACTGGATACAAGGAGAGAGGAATCAGGAAATAAGGAGAGGAAACAGAGCAGGTTGTACAGCAGTAAACATGTTTGTGCTTCAGAGCCACAGAGCTGACAGCAGCGTCAGCAGAACAAACAGACTTTACATGTGGAGGCAGACAGTGTGGAACAAAGCAGAGAACAGAGAACACAAACATAAGCTTTGAAACATCAAACGTCACTGGAAATGTATTCATACAGCACGAGAGAAAAATATTTCTATTATTTATGAAGCGAATCAGAATGAGATTTGATGGCGTTTGAGGTAAACGTGTCCAAAGGTCAGCAGCTTTCTATCCTTTCATAATGGATACATTTATTTTTCTTATTTATTTTCCCTTTGAATGTCAGGGAAACGTCCAGTCGGCAACATTTTCTTTAATATATTCTAGATCTATTTCATGATTTTTTTATTTTTTTTATTGTATTTATTTTGAACTGTCTGGAGACTTTAATACCTGAATTTAAAAATACATGTCAAAGTTATTAAGAATACTTGACATTTTGGTTTGCGTTCAATTTGTGTGAAGCTAAATTTGATCTGAAATTGAAATTCTCCAAAATTAAATATAAACTATAATCATCTCCAGCTGGTGTGCATCATCTGAAAGACAGGTTTCACTAAGATTGTAGTATAATTGAGTTTTAATCATATTTTAGTATTCGAAACAAACTGCTTACACATTCAGGAATACAAATATGATACTGCTAAATTATTATTTAATTGTAGTATAGCATCGTTTGTCTTCCGTATGAATAAGCCCATTGAAAAATAATTAAAAAGTGCCTTCTCTTTCCAGAACACTCTTAAAGTGTGAAAGAACAACACACACACTTCCAGGTCTGAGGTAAAACCACCAAATGTGTTTCTCTTGTTTTAAAGCAGGGTGAGTCTCAGAGGAGGATGTTTCTGAAGAGGCAGTGGAGCAAGGACAGGGAGACGCTCTCTGCTACATTCACACGAACATCACTAATTCACTTTGACAAATGCGTTTCAGAGGAAATACAATTGCTGCCATAAAGTGAGGAGGTGTTTGTATTTCCTCTTCATAAACTTCAAACACACACGTTAGTATGCAGAACGCTGCAGGACTCATTATTTACTGTTGTCATCAACACATATGATATGATAGATTTATTATTTACAAACAAAGCTGACAGAATAGTTAAAACCTTCAACTTCCTGACTGGTCTTTCTGACCATAATCTTGTTCTTTTTGCCAGGAAACTCACAAAAAAAAGGTTTATGGCCACACCTAAAACCCCTGCCTTGGGTTCACGCTTCATTCCCAAAAATCTGCAACAACGTTTTATGGATGCAGTGAAAATGATTGATTGGGGGGACACTCTCTCCTCTGAAGATATTGGTGAAAACAGTGATCTGTTTATATCTCAAATGAATGATACAATGTCTTCCTTCTCAAGGAGAGGGTGCCTTAGGGACAGGAAGGAACATCATCTTCCCTGGCTGAATCTACAGTGCAGGAATATAATGAAATCTAGAGACCACCTACTGAAGCAGAGCTTGAAATCCGGACTATCCACTGACAGACAGAAATTCACTCATGCTACAAGGTAACACAAACAATAAGACAGGCCAAAGCTAACTTTTTCATCAATATAATTGAAGGTGCGAAAGGTAACGGTAAAAACGTTTGGCAATCCTAAATAAACTATTAGGTAAACATACCAAACAGGAAAATAATGCTCTAGAATTAAAAATCAATGATGCCCTGATAAAAGACCATGCAGTGTTGGCCAGCTCTCTAATGAGTATTTCATAAATAGTGCTCTGGACATTACAAAGCTCTTCCCGCCATCTGAGGTCTCACCTAGCCCGACTGTGGATACACACCCCGTTTTTGACCTGGAGGAAATCACAGAGGCTAAGGTAAAAAATATAATCTTAGGGTTAAGAGGTTCTAAGGCTAGGGATGCAGATGATTTAGACACCAACTTTATAAAAACACATATTGACGGTCTAATAAAACCAATTAGTATGCTAGTGAATCAATCTATCAGCACGAGGGAAGTTCCATCATCCTGGGAGGTGGCCACGGTGACACCGATCTTTAAATCTGGGGATAAGGCAATGATGTCCAATTACAGACCAATCAGCATCCTCCCCTGTGTCTCTAAGGTAGCTGAGAAATGGGTGTCAAAACTAATCACCAAACATTTAGACAAAGGTTTCGCTCCACTCCACCCAATGCAGTTTGGTTTTCGTGCTTTACTGTGTCTTTGTGGAAAAGGTTAAATGTATGTTGGACACGAGCCCATATGTAGGTGCTGTCTTCCTTGATCTCAGTAAGGCTTTTGACACAGTTGACCACCAAGTGCTCCTTACAAAGCTGACTTATTTCAATTTTTCTGCAGTTTCTATACAGTGGGTTAAATCTTACTTATCGAACAGAAAATAGTGTGTTTTGGTCAACGGTACCAAATCCCCCTACCTTGTGAACCCTGTTGGGGTTCCACAAGGTTCCATTCTTGGACCATTACTGTTTTCTCTGTACATTAATGACTTGCCTAATGTATGTGCTGAGTTGAATGTGCAAATGTATGCCGATGATGCGGTCATCTTTGTACACTGGAAAAACACTGAAATAATCACATCATGTCTCTCAAATGCTTTGGACAAGGTTCAACACTGGCTGAACAACATTTGCTTACAGTTAAATGTAAAAAAAACATTATGCATGATGTTCAGTAAACGACCAGTCAAAATCGAAGGATCCAATGTGTTTTTAAACAGAGTAGAAATAGAAATAGTCCCCCACTTCAAGTATCTTGGAGTCATATTGGACTCGAACTTGACTTTTAAGAAACATATTAAGAAAGTATCCAATACCATTCAATTCAACTTGCAACATTTTAAACAAATTAGACCCTTCTTAACTGTCAATGCTGCAAAGTCATACCTCCACTGTATGATTCTATCCCACATTGAATACTGTTTTACAAACTGGTCGTTTGCTTGTGCCACAAACCTGAAACCCATAGAACAGCTGTACGAGAGAGCTATCAAGGTGTTTGACAGAAAGCCTTATTCATACCACCACTGTACCATCCTTGAAAAACACCATTTCTTGAGTTTTGACCATTTTAAGTCTTTTAAAAGTATGTGTTTTTTTTATAAATGTTTACATGGACTGGCCCCCCCTCCCTTAGGGGAATTCATCCACAGAAAACACACTGGACGCTGCACTAGGTCAGAAACCAGAGGAGACTGTGAAGTCCACCACAGACGGACCACTTTTGGACAAAATGTCCTCTCCGTTTAAGGCAGCTCATTGTGGAATAGCCTCCCAACTGAGATACAGGATTGTCCCTCTCTCAATAGCTTCAAAGGACAACTTAAAGAATGGTTGAGAAACAAACAGACGTGTAATCACCGCTAAATGCACTTTAATACAGGGGTCTCTCCTCTTGCACTTTTATCTTCTCTTGCACTTTATATATCATAGCTGCTACATTGTACTGCCATGTGGTAAATGCTTGTATGCTGCTCATGCTCTTTCTGCATGTCATGTATTTATTTTGCTATGTATATAAATGTCATGTTCTTGTATGTTGTATGCGAGGGGACTGCGGATGGAAATTAGCTTAAAGCTCAAATCCGGCTCATTTACGTTTGTAAGCATTGTTTTTGTTTTAAAGTGTTCATCGATGTGCACTGTCCCGGTTCAAATAAACGATTAAATAATTGTTTGTCTAACCTGACGTTGCTGTTTCATTATCTGCATGTTAGCGGTGCTTATTGCAGCAGAACTTTTAACACTTGCATTAAACCCTGAAATTATCTGTGTTGTCATTTTCTAGATTTACCAGAATGTTCTAGCAGTTCTTTTATAAAATACATCAAATATATGTAAATAACATGTGAGTGTTACAAGTTATTGGATATAAATGTTGGACACGAGGGTCGCCGTTGTCGGTAAGTGTGTTTGTGTACGTGTACGTGCAAACTGTGTATATGTACGGAAGCCAAGTGTTTCTAATATCTCTGTCAAAGATTCATATATATAATATTTTTCCATTAGGTTTGTTCACGCTGCCTCTGCCTCATGTTTAGTTAAGATTAAACGTCTGCTCCTGAGCTCCGTAATTAAAGTCTTTCCGCTCTGTTATTCCACTTATTTTGATTATGGACGGTGCCCCCCCCCCCCCTTCAATGGTAACAAACATGCATTCATCATTACTGAGCTGCAGCATGTTGGAAATCCACACTAAAAATAGCAATTTTCATCAAACGCCACCTCTGATTACGCTCCAATTAAACCCAATCTGAAGGGTGGTTATTGTGTGTGTTTACATGCAGAAAACGGGGGAAAGATCACTTTCCTCCTGAGCTCCATTTATTTTTTTTCCTGCTCTGACAGGTACATTAATGGAAGAGGACAACTGAGCTTCATATCTGAATGTCAAGATGTCCCAGAGCCTGATTAATCGCTGTAAGAGTAATCAGTCTGAAATGAGATCTGATCAAACTGGGAACACACACACACGTGCAAAAACACACACACACCTGAGCGTCTTCCTGTGCATGTCTTCTTCTGTGATCCCGGAGTAAGTGAGCGTTTCATTCCAGACCGGATTCAGAGAATTACGGATCGTCCTCGTCTTCAGCTTATTGGCCTGAAGGACACATACATAAATGTGATTTATTATGCACCGGTCAGTGGATATAAAACATTATCCACCTTAAGGTGTATATTTAAGTTAAATTCTCTATTTGTGTCTGCACATTTCTCATCAATTCAATAGAAGCCACCTTCACATAATGCGTCATTTGCATATTTAAGCGTTACATTCCAGAAAACTTGTAATAACAAAAATAATTGTGTCTGCAGTGTGTGCAAAATGTATGGATTTTACAATATATTTAAAGAAGGTTTTCTGAACCAGAAATCTCCACTTCAGGAGCACTGACATACACCAAACGTTCCAGTTTCATTGCTCTCTATTATCTGAAGCTTTCTACAGAGGACTGTATTCAAATATCATTCAGTGCCTGATTTTAAGAGAAATTTATTACTAAAAACACAAATAAAATAAAAAATGTAACGGTTGTTGACAGTATTCTCTGTGTGTAAAAGCCATCTTGTTAAAGAGGACATTTTGTGCTCTATGTTCAGGTTCATATTAGTATGTTGTGCCTCTACTGTGTTCAAAAAGCTCTTTATTGTTCTCATACTGCCTGTGCTGCAGCACCTCTTTTCACCCTCTGTCTGAAACCAGAGCCCAGTCTGCTCTGATTGGTTAGCTGGCCGGCGCTGTTGTGATTGGTGAGATGTTCCGCCCCTTAGCCAATCATGTATAATGTGTTGGAGCGCTAGCCAATAGAAGTGCGAGTGTTACGCAGTGATGTCACTATGTTATATAAGTAATCAAAGGAGTCCAATGGAGGCGTTTCAGGGGGGGAGAGTGTGGGAGAGAAACTCCCTCTGGAGGGAACACAGGGATTTTAGCCTTTGCAGACCATTTACATGCACACAAACTATAACACAATACAAGAAAGGGAAAACCCCAGATACAGCATAGAAAAGTGTTATATTATATTAAACAGAGCAGCAGAGAAATCCTTTCAGTCAATTCTCCAGTTATTCTGTATGCTCCACCAGGCAGCTGGGTGAGGAAGATTGAATTTCATGGCATTTTAAAATGATCTTATCTGAAAAAGGATGTGAATTATTTCATTTACAATACTCAAACACAAGAGTAACATGGGGTAAGGTAACTGAAATATAATCATTTGATTTTCGGTTAATGAGTATCAGAGTCTCACCTTGCAGGCTCCGGGCAGCAGGTGCAGTTTGACGTACGGGTCGGACAGACCGTTGAAATCCATCGGCTTCAGACCCTGAAAATAAAACATTAAAATAAGATTAATTATGACGGCAAAGTCAGGTGAGCAGGTTCATTGGTCCGGGTACCAGGGGTGGAAAGGTAGTCAGTCTTAGTAATACTTCAGTCTAAAAAACGTTAATTAAAGTACAAGTATTATACGCAAAATGTACTTAAATTATAAAAAATAAATTATTCATAGTGTAGAATGTCTCTATTTTCAAAGTGGCGTTTTTTTATTATATAGTATCATAATATAATTATAAAAACAAATACATATAAAAGGTTTTTTTATGTTAAATATGGTCAATGTGGAGCAAAGGTTAGATATTTGTCAACTATTTAGTGAATTAGTAGTCATATTATTTACGGAAAAAGTAACTTCAAGTTTGAAATTCATGTAGTGCATTAAAAAGTAAAACACTTTTTCTAAATATCAGATTAAAGTGAATACCTTTGGGTTTTGGACTGACAAAACAAGACATTTTTCTATGTTTTTCTAACATTTTCTTCTAGACAAATTGCCAAATAATTTACAATAAAAGTAATCGTTATTCCATAATTATTGAGGCATTATTGTGTTCATTGTTTGTTTGTAGCCTTTATTGCAGGTGAAAATCCCATTGAGATCAACGATCTCTTTTTCAAGGGAGACCTGCAGCACAATTACAAATGTTGCAGCTGGTAAATTAGCAAAATGTAATTGCTGCTGGGTACTTTGATAGATAGATAGATAGATAGATAGATAGATAGATAGATAGATATAGATGATAGATATAGATAGATAGATAGATAGATAGATAGATAGATAGGAGAGATGCTCGGATCGCTCGCTCGCTCGCTAGCATGGCTGGGGCTCGCTGGTGCTCTATCGCTCGCTCGCTCTCGCTCGCTCGCTCGATGGCTCGCTCGCTGGCTCGCTCGCTCGCTCCGCTCGCTCGCTCGCTCGCTCGCTCGCTCGCTCGCTCGCCGCTCGCTCGCTCGATCTCGCTGGTCTCTCGTCCCCTGTCGCTCGCTCGCTGGCTCGCCTGCCGCTCGCTCGCTCGCTGCTCGGTCGCTCGCTCGCTCGCTCGGTCGCTCGCTCCATGTCGCTGCTCGCTCGCTCGCTCGCTGGCTCGCTGGCTGGCTCGCTCGCTCGCTCGCTCGCTCGCTCGCTCGCTCGCTCGCTCGCTCGCTCGCTCGCTCGCTCGCTCGCTCGCTGGCTCGCTGGCTCGCTGGCTCGCTGGCTGGCTCGCTGGCCATCTCTGGCTCGCTGGCTCGCTCGCTGCCTCGCTGCTCGCTGGCTCGCTCGCTGGCTCGCTGGCTCGCTGGCTCGCTGGCTCGCTGGCTCGCTGGCTCGCTCGCTGCTCGCTCGCTGGCTGGCTCGCTCGCTCGCTGGCTCGCTGGCTCGCTGGCTGGCTCGCTGGCTCGTCGGCTCGCTGGCTCGCTGGCTCGCTGCTCGCTCGCTGGCTCGCTGGCTCGCTGGCTCGCTCGCTGGCTCGCTCGCTGGCTCGCTCTCTGGCTCGCTCCCTGGCTCGCTGGCTCGATGGCTCGCTCGCTGGCTCGCTCGCTCGCTGGCTCGCTGGCTCGCTGGCTCGCTGGCTCGCTGGCTCGCTGGCTCGCTGGCTCGCTGGCTCGCTGGCTCGCTCGCTCGCTGGCTCGCTGATGCTGGCTGGCTCGCTGGCTCTCCTGGCTCGCTGGCTCGCCTGGCTCGTGGCTCGCTGGCTCGCTCGCTGCTCGCTGGCTCGCTGGCTCGCTCGCTGGCTCGCTGCTCGCTGGCTCGCTCGCTCGCTGGCTCAGTGGCTCGCTCGCTGGCTCGCTCGCTCGCTGGCTCGCTGGCTCGCTGGCTCGCTGGCTCGCTGCCTCGCTCGCTGGCTCGCTGGCTCGCTGGCTCGCTGGCTCGCTGCTCGCTGGCTCGCTGGCCTCGCTCGCTGGCTCGCTCGCTGGCTGGCTCGCTCGCTCTCTGGCTCGCTGGCTCGCTGTCTGGCTCGCTGGCTCGCTGGCTCGCTGGCTCGCTGCTCGCTGGCTCGCTGGCTCGCTCGCTGGCTCGCTGGCTCGCTGGCTCGCTCGCTGGCTCGCTCGCTGGCTCGCTCTCTGGCTCGCTCGCTGGCTCGCTGGCTCGCTGGCTCGCTCGCTGGCTCGCTCCTCGCTGGCTCGCTGGCTCGCCTGGCTCGCTGGCTCGCTGGCCTCGCTGGCTCGCTGGCTCGCTGGCTCGCTGGCTCGCTCGCTCGCTGGCTCGCTGGCTCGCTGGCTGGCTCGCTGGCTCGCTGGCTCGCTGGCTCGCTGGCTCGCTGGCTCGCTCGCTGGCTCGCTGGCTGCTCGCTGGCTCGCTCGCTGGCTCGCTCGCTGGCTCGCTCCTGGCTCGCTGGCTCGCTGGCTGGCTCGCTGGCTCGCTCCTCGCTGGCTCGCTGGCTCGCTGGCTCGCTCTCTGGCTCGCTCGCTCGCTTGCTCGCTGGCTCGCTGGCTCGCTGGCTCGCTGGCTCGCTGGCTCGCTGGCTCGCTGGCTCGCTCGCTCGCTGCTCTGGCTCGCTGGCTCTCGCTGGCTCGCTGGCTCGCTGGCTCGTGGCTCGCTGGCTGGCTCTGCTCGCTTGCTCGCTTGCTCCGCTCGCTGCTCGCTCCTGGCTCGCTGGCTCGCTCGCTGGCTCCTCTCGCTGCTCGCTGGCTCGCTGGCTCGCTGCTCGCTGGCTCGCTCGCTGGCTCGCTCGCTGGCTCGTCTGGCTGGCTCGCTGGCTCGCTCGCTCGCTGGCTCGCTGGCTCGCTGCTCGCTGGCTCCTGGCTCGCTCTCTGGCTCGCTGGCTCCTGGCTCTGCTGGCTCGCTGCTCGCTGGCTCGCTGGCTCTGGCTCGCTGGCTCGCTGGCTCCTCGCTTCTCGCTGGCTCTCTTCTCTCGTCTGGCTCGCTGGCTCGCTGGCTCTCTGGCTCGCTTCTGGCTCGTGGCTCGCTCTCGCCTTGCTGGCTCGCTCGCCTGCTCGCTCTAGCTTGTCTCGCTGGCTCGCTGGCTCCTGCTCGCTGGCTCGCTCGCTGGCTCGCTCGCCTGGCTCGCTCGCTGGCTCGCTCGCTGGCTCGCTCGCTGGCTCGCTGGCTCGCTGGCTGGCTCGCTGGGCTCGCTCGCTCGCTGGCTCCTGGCTCGCTGGCTCGCTCTCGCTGGCTCGCTCGCTCGCTGGCTCGCTGGCTCGCTGGCTCGCTGGCTCGCTGCTCGCTGGCTCGCTGCTCGCCTGGCTCGCTCGCTCGCTGGCTCGCTGGCTCGCTGGCTGGCTCGCTGGCTCTCTGGCTCGCTGGCTCGCTGGCTCGCTGGCTCGCTCGCTGGCTCGCTGGCTCGCTGGCTCGCTCGCTGCTCGCTCGCTTGCTCTCTGGCTCGCTCGTGGTCGCTCGCTCGCTGGCTCGCTGGCTCGCTGCTCGCTGGCTCGCTGGCTCGCTCGCTGGCTCTCTCGCTGGCTCGCTCGCTGGCTCGCTGGCTGGCTCGCTGGCTCGCTCGCTGGCTCGCTGGCTCGCTTGGCTCGCTGGCTGCTGGCTCCTCGCTGGCTCGCTGGCTCGCTGGCTCGCTGGCTCGCTGGCTCGCTGGCTCGCTGGCTCGCTGGCTAGCTGGCTCGCTCGCTGGCTCGCTGGCTCAGATGGCTCGATCGCTCGCTCCTCGATAGATCGAGATAGATGAGATGGATAGTGGCTGATAGACACTTTATTGTCCCATTTGGGAATGTTTGCGTTGCAGCAGCATATAAAACAAGACAATGTACATAAGAGTCTATAATAAACATAATTATTTCTTAGTTCAATATAGTCTGAATAATCTTATTAAATCTGTCAGATAAATGCAGTAAAAAGTAATACATTTGGTAATTCAAGCTAACTCTAACCTCATATTTTCTCTATATTTGCCGTGTTTGATAATGAATATAGTAATAAAAAGGTAACGTATGATAATGAATCACATTACTACACATCCTCTGTGTTTCCTGACCCCCCCCCCCCCCCGATCTTCTCTGATATGACGTGTTAATAAGTGTGTAAATAATTCAGTATAAAGAATAAAGCAGCAGGACAGAGGATTTTAAACTATGACCGCAGGATCAAACATCAGCGGGACTGAGATGATCCTGAGAAATTACTCCCAAATTCATCTCAACAGCTTTGACATTTGCAGCGGTGGCAGAGAGACAGATTTATTTTTCCGCCGATATTTTTTTAATGAGGTTGAACCGCAGGTAGAGACTGTGACCTACAGACGTGTGTGTATTCATAATCTCACATACACAACTATCATACAGTATAATGTACCATTAAATCCAGGGCTGGAATAAGCACCTACCTACAGTAGGGTAATAGTATGTTGATATTTACATGTAATTATATTTATTTGGAGTATTACTACATCCAAGGAGAATTGTAATGTTAGAGCTAGAACACGTTTATATTATTTTGTTTTTTTATTCAAAAAAGCACCCTTTCATTCATGACAGGCCTTTACTTATTTATATAGAAAATGGTATAGCCATAAAATGAAAGAAAACAGGGATATAATGCCAAATGAATGTCCAACACAATAAGGAAAATAAAATTAACTGAATAATAATAATAATAATAATAATAATAATAATAATAATAATAATAATAATAATAATAATAATAATAATAATAATAATAATAAAGAGCCTATATGATAATAATCCTGCAGTGGTTTTAAACATTTCTTAAATTGATATTTTTCTGGTATCCATCATTAGTCTCACCTTTCTTTTTAGTTCAACATGGATCTGGCCCTTCCTACATCCAGGACATGGTTAAACCATACACCCCAGCACGTGCACTCCGCTCTGCATCAGCCAACCGGCTCGCTGCACCCGCACTGCGAGGGGGACCCAAGTTCCCATCAGCAAAAACACGTTGGTTTGCTATCCTGGCTCCAAAATGGTGGAATGAGCTCCCCATTGACATCAGGACAGCAGAAAGCTTACATATCTTCCGGCGCATCTCTTTCGACTCCACTTCGAGTGATAGAATTGCTAACAAAGCACTTATATACTAATAAAGGACTGGCTTAT